CATGCATGCACTTGCATGCATGCACTGCTGCGTCGGCCTTCGCGGCCCGGCTGAGTTGCTGGCAGCAGCAGCAGCAGCAGCAGCAGCGCACCGCAGAAGCCCCCGTGATGATGTCGTGACACTCCACGCCGGCGTCTGCCAGGGCCAGTCCCGCGCAAGTCAGAGCAGCAGCCAGTGCGCCTGCGGTGTACGTACACCCCACAGCTGCTGCAGCAAGCTCTCTGCGGTGTACGTACACCCCATAGCTGCTGCAGCAAGCTCTCTGCGGTGCACGTACACCTCACAGCTGCTGCAGCAAGCTCTCCGCGGTGTACGTACACCTCACAGCTGCTGCAGCACTTAGTGATGTGATGTGTTCTGAAAGATGAAAGGATAAATGAGAAATGGATTTGTGAAAATAAAAAGAAACAGAAGTATAAATTGATGAAGAAATAAAAATATAGGAAGATAAATAGAAAGACAAATAAAAGAGGAAACAGATAAACTAATAAATAAGATACAAATAAACAAGGAAAAGATATTAAATAAATGAATGAATAAATAAATAAATAAATAAATAAATAAATAGTAGCTTTTACCTCCATCTTCTTCAGGAAACATAAAAGTAAACAAACATCAAATAGGCATCAAACAAAAACACCAAATAAACAAATAAGTAATGATAAACAAATAATAAACAAATAACATCAATAAACTAATCAATTAATTAATTAGTTAATTAATCAATTAACTGATTAATTAAATGGTTTTCACCTCCATCTTGTTCAAGAAATACTAAACATCAAACAAACACCAAAAAACACCAAATAGACAAATAAACAATCAAATAAAAGACAATAAAATAACAAATTAATTAACTAATTAATCGATTAATTAATTAATTAATTAATTAATTAATTAATTAATTAGTTTTACCTCCATCTTCTTCAAGAAACATAAAAGAGACCTCCAAGACGCTCTTAGGGTAGCGCTCCAGCAGCACGCAGCTGTCCAGCGCCTGGTGCAGCAGCAGCAAAAGCTGCTCCTGGGTTTCGCCCTGCAGCAGCAAAAACCCTTTTGTTATTCGCTCTTTTGTTGTTTTGGAGCTTTAATCTTCCTTTCTTATTTCTTTATTGTTTGTTTGCTTTTTTGTTTTCTTTTTCTGCGTTTTTTCGCCTTTTTTTGGCCTTTTTCCCGCTGCAGCGACCCAAACCCTAAACCCTAAACCCTCGCTGCTCCCTTCGGAAACCCTAAACCCTCGCTGCTCCCTTCGCAAACTCCAAAACCTAAACCCTAGACCCTCGCCGCTTCCATCTGAAAGCTTAAAGCCTAAACCCTCGCTGCTCCTTTGGAAACCCTAAACCCTAAACCCTCGCTGCTCCCTTCTGAAACCCTAAACCCTCACTCCGTCCGCGCTGCTGCGTTGGAAGAAGGGGGAGCCTCTGTAGTCCACTTTTATAAACCCTCGGTCTTGCAAGTCGCTGCGGCCGGCAGACCGCGGCCCAAAGCTGCGCAAACACCTTAACACCTTTCCCCCATTTAGGGTTTAGGGTTTAGGGTGGGGGTCTAGGGTTTGGGGTTTAGGGTGGGGATCTAGGGTTTGGGGTTTAGGGCTAGCGCCTAGGGTTTGGGGTTTAGGTTTTGGCGTTAGGGTTTAGGATTTAGTGCTTGGGGTTCAGGGTGTAGGGTTTAGGGTTTAGGGTTTGGGGGCGCACATGGCGCAGTAGACTTTGGTGTTTCCCACGGAGACGAAAGCGGAGCCAGAGGCGCTGCCGAGGGAAAGGGTTTGGAGGTCTGCAGCAGCACTTTCAGAAGCAGCAGCAGAAGTTGAAGGCAGCAGCAGCAGCAGCTGCTGCTGCTGCTGCAGCTGCAGCAGAAGCTAAGGAACTGCAGGGCCGCACGGGGCCGCTGCGCGCCTAGAGGGTGCTCGTGGCTCAAGCCTAGGGTTTAGGGTTTAGTGTTTAGCGTTTACTGAGGGTTTAGGGTTTTTGAAGTCTAGGGTTTACGGATACTGAGAGCTAGGGTTTAGGGTTATTTAGGCCTAGGATTTGAAGGCACTCAGGCCTAGGGTTTAGGGTTTAGGGTTTGTGGCTGCCTACGCATGGGCCGGACTTCTTCTGGAAGCCTCCCGTCCCTCCTCCTGCCATTCACAAAGGGACTGCTGCTGCTGCTGCTGCTGCTGCTGCTGCGGGGCGGCAGCAGCGAGAGTGTGCCTGTGAAGGCTGCGGGGCCTGGGGGCCCCACGGCCTCGAGGCCCCAGCCAAGCATAGTCCTCAGAGGCCCCGAAAAGCACCAGAAGAAGCAGCAAAAGAAGCAGCAGAGCAGCAGCAGAGCAGCAGCGAAGCAGCAGCAAGCAGCAGCAAAAAGAAATGAAGTAAAAAAGGATTTAATTGGAGGGAAATTGCGAAGAAGGAGAGTGAGCAGGCAGCGCGCAGCTGCGCATACACCCCAACTCCCCGCTCTCGCCGGCGAACTGCGCGAAAACTCGAATTAAATGGATAAATGGATTAAATTGAATGAATTAAAAAAGAAAAAGGCAAACGGATTAACTGGAATGGATTTAAAAGCAGAAGAAAAGCCCGGAAACGAAGCTGAAGGCCGCGGGGGCCCCTCACCGTGGGGCCCGCAGGGTGGCGCCACCGCGCAGCCTCTGGGGGCCCCTCTGCGCCGTTTTTGGGTGTTTATTGGACAACTTCGAATAATAAAAAGAAATAAAAGGGTTTTGCTGCTCCATTTCGCATTTAAATCTCTCCAGGCAGCGCGCTCAGGCGGGGG